TTCCAAAGTCCAAGCTTTTCTCACTCCATACCAGCTGCCTAAGTTACTGTACCTTGAACAGCATTACCGTACACTACCAAAACAAATATTTATGGGTATAGTTGTGGGGAGAGGAAAGGGAAACGGGAATCAGTTCTGATTCCCTTCTGAAGACCCAAGAGATCTATCCTAGAAGGAGTCCAGTGGCCCGACACTCTCTCTCTCTCTCACTCTCTCTCTCTCTCTCTCTCTCTCTCTCTCTCTCTCTCTCTCTCTCTCTCTCTCTCTCTCTCTCTCTCTCTCTCTCTCTCTCACTCTTTTTGGAAGAAGCCAATCATAGCTCCCAAATTCTAAAAGTTAGGCACCACAGACTCTCCTTTTCCCTTCTCTACCAGCTTCTTGTCCAGAGCCTGCAGCCCAGACCGTGCTAATCAGAGAAGGCTGTTCTGCCTTATGCTAAACCTGGCCCTGGCTCTGGCCCTCCAACGTCCACCCCTGCTCTATCCCCCAGCACCTGAGCAGAGGGTACACCTGTCAGCTACTCATACCAGGACAAATGAAAAAAGCAGAGGCAAAAGGGCAGTCAGTATATACAATGATAACCACACTGTGAATAAAGATAACACTAAAAGACAACAGAAGGGAGGCCAAAAGGAATGGACGTTGGTATCAAACGATTACAGTTAAAACACACATTGTTCAAATCCAGATCTTGCGTCTCCTCAGTCCCATTCTTTATCTACTCTGCCATGCTGTCTTTCATCTTTTCCATTAACAATAAATCAGTGATTAAATATAGACAATGACATGTTCTATCAGTTGTAATCACTCTATTCAGAAGATTTGCTTGTTGTAGGGGAATGTACTTTTCTGGTGGGCTTGAGAATTTGAGGGGGGTGTAGGATCTCTTGAGACAAAAAGTATGTGGTGAGACAGGTGGTCTCCCCCTCCAATAGTGGAGGTCACAGCCTTCCACGACTGCCCAACTCTTGTCTAAGAGATGCTGTGTAATGGAAAGGATGCTAGACTTGGAAAGTCAGGAAGACTTGGCTTTAATTTCATCTCTGACTAGCTGCATTACCATGGGTAGGTCACAAGTTCTGAGCCTCAATTTCTTCACCTGTACAACAGAAATAATACCTCTGATACTTAACTCACAGGCTTGCTCTTAGGATCAAATGAGAATGTGTGTAAAAGGCATTATTATTATAATACCTTCCCATAAATCCTCCAAAGGGAGTCCACCAATGCATTAAGGGCCTTTTCTAAATTCTTTGCCATCACCTATATAAAACCACATGACTATTTTTGAAAAGAAAGGCCTAGGTTGTGGACATTCCATGCTGGGAAACGGAAAAACTATAGATGGGGCTTGAGAGCAGGCAACTTGTGAGAAGAAGGGGCAAGAAGCTACCAACCATTCAGATCTTAGTGCTAGGTCTTAGAAAAGCAATCTAATAAAACTAATTCACAGAAAAAGAATGGGACTCCTTATAAAAGGAGGGTGTAAAATAATAGAATCAAAGATTCTAGGTATATAATTGGAAGGAACCTCAGAGAATCCAACCTTCCCAATTTTAATAGATTTTTCAATATTTTAATTTAATTTATTTTCAACTAAATTAAATTTATTTTAATATTTTTAATATTTGATATTTTAATAGATTAGGAAGCTGAGGACCTCAGAATCTAAGTGACTTACCCAAGGTGCAGATAGAGCTAGGACATGAAACTAGGCCTGTTGGCTCTAACTCCAGACTTCTTTCTGTGCTCCACAGTTCAAGTATAACTGGGTGTGGGGAAGGAAAGAATTAATTAAGTGGACCACAGTGCCCGGGGACATAGATATTTAATAAATGCTTGTGGAACTCAAAAGTAATTTTGGAACTTGGAGCATGGACCACTTCAGAGGAAGGCAGGCCTGGGAAGGTCTATAACAGTGGGGAGTGTATCAAGGATATCAGGGCCCTGAAGTGCTGGTACTTGGGGGAAAAGAAACGTATGAAATGAAAGAGAAGGGGCACAGAAAAGGAGGTGTGGCTCCAAAACTTTTGCTGGAGCCAGCCTTATTCTCATCCTCTGTCTTCTGGCACATTCACGAAGTAGACGGAAGGCCTAGAACTAAGTGAGCAGGTTTTATGGAGATGGTCAGAAAGCCAGGTCTCTAAGATGACCTGCTCACAACAAACCTAGATGTACTAGGAAGAGTGGCGCGGGTCGGAAGCAGAGCCAGAGTAGGCTGAAAGTGGTTGTGAAGACCAGAGTTAAGAGCAATAAGGAAGGAAGGTGTGGGGCCAGTGGGTTTGGAATCTACAGCTGGGTCACATGAAGACTTAGAAGAAGGTGAATAAAGTTGTGGGAGACTGGAGTTATAAGGGTTTGAAAACAATCACGCCATCCATCAAAAGTTTCATTCAGCTGGTTTATGTGGTAAGTTCTGGGGGCGAAGACATGAATATAGTGCACAATCCACACCAGCTATACTCAAGTCCACAGGACTCCGATGTAAAGACTTTATTAAGGCCTCCAACAATAAAATAAAAGACATAAATTTGAGGATACATACATGCTATATTATTTCTACAATAGAAAATTCCACTAATTATAAGGTCATAGATGCAGAGCTGGAAGGGACTCCAGAAGCTCCCAACTGTCTCATTTTACTAAAGAGGAAACTGAGGCTCAAGGAGGTCATAAGACTTGCCCATGGTCACAGCGATAGAAATTAGCCAAGGACAATAGAACCCAGGTGGCATTTGAACCCACGTCCTGTGACTTCAAAGTTAGCATATTTTCCTCTGTACTATACTGTCTCCAGTCATTTCCAAGAATCTTTAAAGCCAAGAGTATTAGGTCTGTTTACCATAAAGACAGTCTATACTAACCATGTGCTAATGGCAGCACCCTTTCAATCTCCTGCAAAAAAAAGGTCGTGCTTTCTGACAATATCACTACATTGCCCAGGTTTCCCAACAGAATTTGTCATACGACACACTGCCACACTTAATGCTAAGAACAGCAATTCACAGTGCTCTAAAACGTCGAGGTTTGCAAAGGACTTTCTTCACAACAGTCTTTGAGGTAGGTAGCACAAGGATTGTTATTATTATCATTCCCATTTTGCAGATAAGGAACCTGAGACTTGGAGTTAAGTGACTTGTCCATGGCCATATAGGTGATAAATATTTGGGGCAGGACAGGAACCTAGGTAGCCTCGATTCCAAGTCCACTGTACCAAGTAGTCTTTCATATAAGCCACTGGTTCAGCTGTTTCTGTTGTCTTAGCCAGATTTCCCCCTCACAAGTATCTTCTCCATAGGCTCAAAGAAGCAATTTTCACATTCAACACTGTCTTATGGTCTTGTCCATGTTCATCTCTTGCTGATGAGTCAGGCCTGTATTCCACCTCATGCCCACAGACATTGTATTACATGGGGGATGGGGAGGAGGGGGTATACTTTTTGAGGGCAGATAACCTAAAATATTGACTTCTGACACTCCACATTTGTGTTCACTTACTCCAACCAAACACTAGCTGACATGAAATCATCTTCCCTCTTACAGACCTACAGGTAACCCAAACCAGTTCCTGACCATTTAATCCTCAGGATCTTCCAGACACATCTTGAAGTCTTTAGCACTCTGTTCAGATGAGAGAGAGCAGATACAAGCTCCTTCCTTGCCTTTCTACTTCATGACCCTAGACCATACTCTTTCCCTGACTCTAAAACTTAGAACTTCCCAACCAACCCCAAACTGCATTCCTGTCCCCTTGTCCCCAACCTCTACTCCACAAACAATTCACCAAGCCTTGTTCTACCCTTTTAGCCCTTTGATGCTAACTTGGTACCTAGCTAATTATCCACAGTATTCAAGCAAGGTACACCATCCTTAAACTTCCTCAATGACTCTGCTTCTTCTAGATCCTCCCATTAGGGACTATAAGCTTCCTGGCTTCGAATACTGTTGTTCTCGAAGCCAGCCTCCCAGCCAATGATGGCCATGTAGCATTTATCTCCTGACCCCTCTTCCCCTAAAGCCTGCTGTCTGATGCCATCACCCTTGGAGGCCTACATGCTTTACCCTCTGCTACAAAGGCCCTCAAACCAGCTAACTCAGATAATCTAACATCCTTGAATCCCCTGCCTATTCTTCCAGATCAGCCCACATTTCTGAACAGTCCCTCCCTATATGAAAAATATCCCACTCCTGGTTGCTTGCCTTCAAACTGTGCCCCTGTACCATCATTCCCTAACTTTGTCATGGAATGACCAGTTTCAATTCTCCTCAATTCCCTTCCCCTCTTAGAACTGTACCTTCTCTACAACCCCTTCTCAACTGGAGAAAGTTTTCCTCTCCTAACGGCTGTATTTCTTTCACCCGCTAGGCCAAAGCAACCACAAAAACCTAGTCAGACTTTGAATAAGTGATGGCACACGAATCTATACTCAAACACACCACCTCCTGTTTTATACGACTTCTCTAGGTGTTAAGTCCTCAAAAAGTCTCACCAGTGTCAGTGAGCATGACACTGGTCAATACTGACATTATATGTCTAATATTCTGAGCTTCTAGAAGGTAAGGACTAGATCTACATAACTGGCTTTGGATGAAATATACAACAGTGCTCTGCATATATAAGCATATAAACACTGATGATTATGATCATAATTTTTAAATTCTGTTCTGATCCAATACAAAAGACAGTTGCCAAGAATGCTGAAGATCACTATTACTTCAATCTAGATTTTAACATCAATTACCTCACCAGAGTCCTAAAATAACAGACCATGGCACATCTATTTATAGAGTGAGAGAGATCTGAAGGTAGTAGAAAGTCCCGAATAATTTGCCATTAGCTTTTCAACACCAAAGCTAAAATTCTGCTGCATGCAAATGTTATCCTGGGTAAGAGGATCCCAGTACCAAGTGATACAGTTACAAGGAAGAGGGGAGCATCCATTCTAGGTCCACATTCACTCTGGACCGAACAAAAGAACAGCTAGCTAGAGATTACTTACCGGTTTATCTTTTATGGTGGGACTTGACACACACAGGTAAAGTTTACTATCTTCTTCTAGACAGGCATCTATCAAAGCTTGCACAGAGCTTTCCTCCTGGAACAGCAGAAAGGCATAGCCTTGGAGAGAAACAAAACAAAAAGGAGAGAGAGAAATAGGAAAATTGCGAATTAATCTAAGAAAATAAAATTTTAATTTTAACCTCCTTAGCAAAATCTAAGAATCATCAGTCGGATAGAGACCTCAAAGCTTGCAATGAATGTTTCATTAAATTGATCTCATGGATACTGTCCTTGGCCAGGACTGGACATTATCTAGCTAGTAACCAACACCTACTTGCCTCCCAGGATCCACCAGCTCCAGGGTTCCAAAGCTCCTTTTGGGCCAATTCCTCACTTTGCTTTCTACTTCTAAGGCCCCGACAACGGCACAAGTGAAAAAACCCATTGTTTATTGCTGACAGATGGGGTCACAGTGTCTGTCAATTATGCTCGATATTTTTTCTTTGTTAGGGCCAGGAGTGGGGTATATTGAGAAACAGCTGATGTTAAAAGGAAAAGGTATCAATATTTTTTTCCAAGAAACTAAACAATGGTCATTGCCACTCATGGCTTCTTTTCCCTACTGCTTCTTAGTGGTGGGAAGTGCCTAGGACAACCTCGGGTTTGTGAGGGAAATAGGGAGCTCAGTCCTAAAGCAAAACTCTCCCCTCTGACCTTCCCTGAACTAAATTTCTAGGTAGGCAAAGTGGCCACAATCTGAGAAACCTGCTCTAAAAGAATAAAGTTGTTTCTCTGTCTCTTTTTTCTTTCTTGTGCTTTTTTGCTTTTGTTCTGATTCTTATTTTGCAACATGACTAATTTGGAAATATGTTTAATATGATTACACATGTATAGCCTATATCAGATTGCATGCTGTCTTGGGGAGGGAGGAGGTAAGGGAAGAAGAAAAATTTAGAACTCAAAATCTTATAAAAGTGAATATTGAAAACTAAAAATAAAGAAATTAATTAACTTTAAGAAAAGAAATAAAAGTCTCCCTACAGCAGTTCCCTGCTTTTCATCCATGGACTCATTGGAAAAGGTGAGGAAACTGAATCATGTCTCACATACATATGTATTACTATCCTTCCAACGTATGTAGAAGCTGTTGTGATTCATGAAATAGAAATTCATTTACAAGCAATATTGAGACCAGCAGTGACTTCAGAAGATGGATGACGAAGAATGCCTCATCTCCCAGAGATATAGCAGACAAGAGGTATAGAATAGGGAATACACAGTCAGACATAGCCAATGTGCCCATTTGTTTTGCTTAACTGTACTTCCTTGTTTTATGGGAGAATTATGTACTGGAGGTGGATGGTCTCTGGAAAGTGGAAATGATGTAAAAAAAAGAATTTATAGAACATTTATTTTAAAAGACAATACCGAAGAGTAACTCTTGGTTATCATATATTTTCCCAATAGAAACTAACAATTTTGGTGGGATTTGTGTAATTTTGATGCTAAAATGGGGTACTTATAATAAAAAAGATTGAGACCCAACACTGTAGGGCAGTTTTATTAATAATACCCTATTTATTATCACTGATTCTAAGTGCCACTACCCAACTACATTATGTCCCTCTCATTTCATCTACTTCTTTCAGTTACACTGAACATCTTTCAATAGGTGATCTTCCTACATACCCTAAACCTTTTCCCTGACATGTATTCCCTCCTTGTCCCAGTCCAATAAACTCTGACCCTTTCTCATCAATTTAACTGCCCTTGAGATACTAGTTTCTTCACAAAAGCTTCCATGGCTAAGAGAAATGACTATTTCCCCTAATCATCTACCTTCTAGAACTCTCCTTTCTCTTAACCAACATATACTGCTATCCCCTCTGCTTTTTTACCCTTGTTGAAAAACCAACTTGCTCATTTATAAGCATTTACTGACTATTCATTAAATGGGCTATATGGTGTCAAAATATATAACACTGAACTACTTGAAACTAAGCAGTATGTGTGTTTAAATCACTTTTTATACTTCCTGGCAAGCTCCTTTCTAAGGGCTTCCTAAGAACCTCAAGTTATTTACTTTTACCTGAGTGCTTCTGATACGGATACAGAAAAACACATACACACACATGCATACACACACTCACACACACCAGCCCAAAAGAATTTTTTTTTAGGCAATTGGGGTTAAGTGACTTGCCCAGGGTCACACAGCCAAAAGAATTCTTGACACACAATTCTGCCTGCTTGGCACAAGAGCAGGGCCAAGTCAGCATGGATAAGACTGAAAGGATAATCATGTTCATGGTGGGTTCCCCCAGAGTGGGGCCTTGGTAAAAGGCTCTGACTAGGCTGAGGTCAGGCTAATCCTGATGGCGGTATAGCTCTCATAGACTGAAGAAGAGCTGCCACCATTAGATCAGTGGTTTGGAACAGCATCATAGAGTTGTAGAAAGAGCCAGTCTCTGGAATTAGAAGACCTGGGACACAGTCCCAGTGACTCATGTGTGATCATGACCAAGTCACCTCACTAACCTGAGTGGTAGTCTCCCTGGATAATGATACTTGTGCCATGTAGTTAGCTTTGGGTTAGTTTTGAGGATAATGCATGTAAAATGCTGAAAGGCATGTACAGGGTATCCTAAAAGTCTTGGCAGTGTTTTAAGCTGTAGAATCTTTTCTTGCACTTACTGGGGAGAAACTCTCGCTCAGTTATGCATTTCCTGACTTTCAAAGCTTTAAGCTATCTAAGACTTTTGGGACACTATAAATGTACTAAGGATCATGTGGATATTTTCAGTGACTTCACAAACCAGGTAGCTTTGGCCACAGAGTGAGGGTCTAAATCTGGCTAACCACCTCACGTTCACACTGTTGGACGTGAGGAAAATTGAGTAAAAGAATGAATGGAACTGGAACCATGTAAAACCTTAACTGCTACTGGAAAAAGAACTCATACATTTATGAAATGTTTGACCCTGGGGGAGTCATGTCTCTTGGGACTTCCATTTCTTCATCTGTAAAATGAAGTTGAAAATTGTTATTCTATTGGCCTTATCGGGTTTTTCAGATGAAAACTTTTTATAAACCTTAAGGTGCTAACCCATATGAGTAATTATTGTTATTAGTCACTTCATCGCCAGTTTGACAGTAACACAGAAAAAGAAGAGCCGCTCATTGAAGCTGAATACTTGAGATTCACCCCTTGAGAAGGTCTTTTCATTCTCTCCATGCCATCTCCCAGTTGATGGCGAGTCATGTAGCTCTTCTGGGTTATCAGTATGGGAAAAGACATGAAAGTAAAACGAATGGAATTGAGTTGGGAAAGGTAAACAAAAATGACCATCTGCTTTTGCAAGTACAAGCCAGAATTGAAGTTCTTTGGGGAAGGTCAGCCAGGAAATATTTATTACATGCGTGCTATATGTAAAAACCAAGTACTACAGGGTAACACAAAGCATGGTCTCCATTCTCAAGCACCTTACAATCCTGTTTCCTAGGAAAACATTAACGAACGGTATAGATGTCAGTCATTAGAGGAGCTCAGACAAAGGAGACATCAACAATGCTAGAGCCTTGGGCTGGATCTAAGATGAAGAAATTTAGAAAGAATAAATGCCAAGTCTTATATTTGAATTCAAAAAATCAGCTTCACAAATAAAAGCTGAAGGAAGATATGGTTAGAAAGCAGCTTGTCTGAGAAGACTCTTCAGGGCTTGAAATACTGAAAACTTGATATCAGACACAAGTGTAAATGTGGCTGCCAAAAAAAAAAGGTTAATATGATCTTGAGCCTCCCCAAAAGAGGTAAAGTTTTCAGAAATAAGAGGATGACAGGGGGAGTAGCATGTTCAGTTCCTGGAAGCTCAGTTTTGGAAAGATGTTGATATACTGGAGGGCATCCAGAAGAGGACAACCACAACTATAAACTCAAAAAAACTTGAGCTCATACCATATAAAGATCAGTGAAAGAAACTGGAGATGTTTACTCTGGAGGAGAGAAGACTTAGAGTGACATGATAGGTATCTGCAAGTTTGTGAAGGGTTGTCAATAGAAAGAGGAATTAAATTCAGTCTCTTTGACCCCAAAGGGTCAACGACTACTGAGGTTCCTTCCCAACTAAAAAATTCTGTGATCAAAACAAGCTTGGGGTTTTTTTAACCCTTTATTTATTTATTTTTAGTTTTCAACATTCATTTTTATAAGATTTTGAGTTCTAAATTTTCCCCCCTCCCTCCCCTCCCTCCTCTCCAAGATAGCATGCAATCTGATATAGGATCAAGCTTGGTTTTTGATGGAGGTAACATTATGCTGATGCACGTGACAGAGAAGAGCCTGAAACCTGATGTGGAAAAGGTCTGCACTGCTCACACAGGTTTCATTTCTTAACAGGATATGAAGCAATGAGAGAGTTTTGACTATTTCTAGAAAGAAGATCCTGGAAACTGGTATAGAGTAGTGGTTGCATTTTGCCCTGCCTATTCTGGACAGCACCCTGCCCCAACTCTATGCCAGTTGTCATGGAGCATCAATTGCCTAAGGTGCTTCCCTAAGCAGGGGCAGCAGATCAAAGACCAGCCACTCTGCAGGACTCAGCCAATGGAACAAGAGGGAGCCAGTCAACAAGCGAAAACTATGGGTGCCAGGACCACTGTCAGGGATAGTAAATGGACACATGGTTCTGGAAAAATGGAAAGATGGGATAGGAGGTGGGAAACTGAGACTCAAGCTAAGTAAGTCAAAGATTCAAAATTGTTTCCAAGGCTAGGTGAGCCAGGGATTCAAAAAGTATGTATGTGTGTGTGTGTGTGTGTGTGTGTGTGTGTGTGTGCATGTGTGTGTGTGTATGTATGTATATGTATATGTGTGTATATATATATATATATATGTATCTGCATAAATACATAAAAAATATAAAAATCTTCAATTGCAAAGCAAGAAAGGATAACCCTTAGTTACTTAGCATCCTTTCTTGCAAATGCCATCAAACCATCAAACCTTGGGGAAGCTATTAAAAATTCAGTATGTCTAATTCATGTGGGAATAATAATTCCCTTATCAAAAGGAATATTAGAGACATCTTTGTTATAAAATGCAAACATCACAAGAAATC